GGAGGTAAAAGACTTCTACAGGAAGAACTACAAAACATTGAGGAAGGAAATAGCAGAGGATGTAAACAGGTTGAAAACCACACCATGCTCGTGGGTCACTAGAATCAACATTATTAAAATGTCTATACTACCCAAAGTGGTCTACAGATTCAATGTGCAGTAAATTCTCAAAAGCTTAGAGCCAAAGCTGTATCCCACTCATAGCATTTGTGTGCTTAGCAATTTTAACCTCATTTCTGGCTTCATTTTCTTATCACTGCCTTTGATTTTCTCTATTTTTAAATCCCACTTTTGTTATATCTTCTTTGCATTTGATTATATTCTTGTTAAGTATATCTACATAAAATTAGGATATAAATTAATAAATTAGCTCGGAAAATCACTTAATATATTTGATTCTTGTTTTACATATTTATAAAATGGAGACAGTAATGGCTACCCCTATTTACCTCAGAAGGAATGGAGAACTTATAATGAGCTAAAAACAAACTGTGAAAAAATAGATTATGTTGCTCCCTTCAAAGTGTTTATCTTCTTGTCAACAGTGGGCAAACTGTAGACAAGAAGATAAATAGTTTTAAATTACTAGACATATTATAAAGAAAGTAAACTATGATTTCATAGGCTGAGGGAACAATGGCCAAGTTTCACTTAGTTCATTTGTCCTTCAGACACCAACATCTCTCTTCTTTCATCTATGTTGGACTTTCACATTGACAAATTTCATGTTCTGGGAGAAACTCTCATGGAACTTTGCACTTTGTGAATATTTACCACTCTCCTCCTATGGTGGTTCCTATGAAACCAATGAAATGGAATGGCCAAACTTCCCATTTGCTAATCAGTGCTATTTTCCAATGCATTTAAGTTATTTTTCAACAATGGAGATGGATTTGCATTGTGCTATCAATAATGCCATCCACCCTCCTATGACACATTTCTGAGATGAGCAGAGATTCAGTCCTTGATAGAGACAGATCTTTTTTATTTTCTTACTTCATGGGAACTTAAATAGCTAGTACAATGTAAAAGTTGAACCTGAACCCCTATACTTAACATTAATACACAACATGATAGGGGTTTAATTCTTCCTCTCTTTGTGGTGAGGAGAAAATACGACGGCTGTTGTTCTGCCATCTGTATTTATACTATGGGTTTGTTTGGGTCACTTATTTAACAGTTCATTTTATATAAACCCTCCAAAATAGGACTATGGTTACCATATTCCTCTCTCTAGCTCCCCAAGTTTTCCAAGATTATATAAAATTTACCCAAGATAGCCCTTCCCCCTTTAAACAATGGCATCTGAGTAAAATTTAAATCAAATGTTGGAAACACATGCCAAATATCCCCAAAGAATTTTCACATGAAATTCAGAACACAACACTTTGAGTCACCAGGAATGTAACCATAAGATGCCCGTCTCATCTGTGCATCTAAATGGTTATCTTTTTCTTCTTCCCTAGTGCTTCAATTTTTTAGCATGATTTCTAATTCCTTCAGTATACATGAATAATTATGTCATCTATAGCATCACTTTGCTACATTATTGGCTCTTTATGCTGTAGAAACTATTTATCATCTTTCTCTATTGAGCATTCCCTAGTCTGATGTGGATGGTAACCACTGAAATAAAGAGTCTGAAGAACAGTAAATGACCATCCATCCAAAGAGAGGATGATAAACAATGTAACTGCTGAGTGAATTCCAATCACACTGAGATGTGCACGCAAGCAGAATACAAAATGGTGCAAAGGAAATATATAGCAGCAGAAGGTGTTCTGATAATTAAGTTTCAACTTGTTAGGAAGATAGGCATTGTCTCCCTAGTGGTCCTGACACTTGGTACTAATAAAACAGTCAAAGCAATAAGCACACCCTGGAAGCCCACACTGGAGCATGTTTTATATAAATTCTTGTTGTCTTTTGTGTTCATTCTACTTCAGGAGACAAATACAAAAACATGAAATGCTTTTGGATAGCCTCCCATTTTGTCATTTGGAATGTATGTTTTAATCACCTTCTTCAATGAATGAGATGCAATGAATGAGACCAGGTTCAATAAAACCCTTGGTATTTGCTTTGGGCTGCCTGTACTGTGGGCAATAGCAGATGGCAACCTCTGTGCCTAGATTTTTTGGATATCCTAAGGAGCTCCAACAGAAGTTTGGTGGACAAAATTGTAGCAGGTATTTATCAAGGGTTGCATCGATCCTCCTTTATTTGGTATACAACGCACATTAGAAGGCATGTAAAGATCCTACCCCTTCTTATTTAATCCTAATATGTTGTCAAGTGATTGAAATTACCCACCTTCCAGTTGTTACCATAAAATCAACAACTCATAGAGGAAAGGTTTTATTTGACAACTGCATTACTAAAAGATCTATGAAAAATATTAAGAACAAGTACTTTTATTATACTCATAAAAAGGCAGTGAAGAAAACTGCAAAATCACTTTTTATTTCTTGCCATAGGCAAGAAAATATAAGCATAAAGAGGAACCTAGCCACAAACAGCACGGATATCACTATGTATTCTTCATGTTTACGCATCATGTAATGAAAAAGGCTTTTCAGAAATATGAACTGTAAATACATTTCAAAGAAAAATGGAAATGAGAAGAAAGCTAAAGTATTGTTTTGCACAGGTATCTCACTTTTTTCTTGACCTTCTCTTATCTTCCCTTACATCAAAGCAGAAAAACCATAGAAGGAGCAACAGTAAATATTAATATTTTCAAGGTTTCTGATTAATCTAAAAAATAAAATTTCTTAATGACAGTGTTGAGACAAACACAATAACCTAGGTAGCATGACATAGGTAAGTTCAGGGTTAGGTCAAACTTTCCAAAATCAAAATAAATTCAGTGACACAGAGCTGAAAATATCCTTACTTTTAGGCCACTGTAGTTGGCATATCAAAAAAGGTAATTTCAAAGAGTAACAGTTTTTATTTTTATTTTCATTTTCTTTTTTTTTATTTCAGGATATTATGGGGGTACAAACATTTTGGTTGCATCTTATGACTTTGTCACACCCAAGCCATGATTTGAGGCGTGCCCTTTCCCCCCTACAATGCTCACCGTGTCCATTAGTTGTGAGTTTACCCACCCCCAACCCCCTAATCCCTGGAGAATATTACTACCATGTGAACACCATAGTGTTGATCAATTAGTGCCAATTTTTGACGAGCTCTTATATTTACCTGGATTGAGTTTTTGTTTTTAAAATGTTTATTATCTTGACTGTAGTGATGGTTTCATGGGTATATACATATGTCCAAATTCATTAAATTATATAAGTTAAATATGTATAGTTTTTATATGTTAATTATACCTCAATAAATCTGCTTTTATTTAAAAAACAGTTTTTCACCGGTAATTTATAAAACATAAAAGTACGGATTCTGTCTACTTTGATGTATAAGAATTACCAGCGTTTTTAAAATGGAAAGGTAAGTTAAAGCATGCCCTAATGAACTAAACATATTAAAACTAGATCAGTAACATGATATACCTTCTTTTTCAGAGACTGATAATAAGTGATTTCAATACATTTCTGGATTGGGGCAGGGCATGTCTTTAAAAGATCTAAATAAAATCTATTTTGCCTAGTATATGTTTTTGTTGACTTTGCCAAAGATCAGTTGGCTGTAAATACATAGATTTATTTCTGTGCTCTCTATTCTTTTTCATTGATTTATGTGTCTAGTTTTATACCAGCACCATGCTGTTTTGGTTACTATACACTTGTAGTATACTTTGAAGTCAGGTAATATGATGCCTCCAGCTTTGTTCTTTTTGTTTAGGATTGCTTTGGCTATTCGGGCTGTTTTTAGGTTCCATATGAATTTCAGGATTGTTTTTTCTAATTCTATGAAAAATGATATTGGTATCTTGATAGATATTGCATGGAACCTATAGATTGCTTTGGGAAGTATGGTCATTTTGAAAATATTAATTCTTCCAATCCATGAGCATGGAAAGGCCACCCTTTTCAATAAATGGTGCTGGGAAAATTAAATTTCCATATTCAAAAGAATGAAACTGGACCCCTATTTCTCACCATGTACAAAAAGAAGCTGAAGATGGATTAAAGAATTAAATGTATGACTTTGTGTAGAGATGAGAGTTTCTACTGGAGTTGATTTCTAATTTTATTTCACTGTGGTCTGACAAGATACATGGTATACTTTCTATTTTTTAAATTTTTTTTGAGACATGCTTTGTGACCTAGGATATGGTCAATCTTAGAGAATGTCAATCTTAGAGCTGATGAGATTAGGTCAATCTTAGAGGTGATGAGAAAAATGTATATTCAGTGGTTTGGGGGTACAATGTTCTGTAAATGTCAGTCAGGCCCATTTGTTCTAGAGTTCTGTTTAAGTCCATTGTTTCCTTGTTTATTGTCTGTTTGGAGGATCTGTCCTGTTCTAGCAGAGGGGTATTGAAATTCCTGGCTATTACGGTGCTGCTGTTTATCGTTTTGTTTAGATCTAGTAGGATTTTCTTTATGAATCTGGGTACACCTGAGTTAGGTACATAAATATTTAGAATTGTTATGTTGTGAGAAATAGACAGTAGTAATGCATTGATGTTAAATCCTAGATTTTGGTTATTATATTGTGGTTATGTAGGAAAATGGCCTTGGAAACACACAGTAAATATTTGGGGGTGATATAATGCATCATGTCAATAACCTAATCTCAAATAATTCAGGGGGAAAAAGTTATACGTCCTGTGATTCTGGTGTTTCTGTGAGTTTATTATTGTTTCAACATTTAAAAAATTAAAAAATAAAACAGTAGGCACACTTCCTGCAAAAGGCAGAAAAAAAACTAGACTTAAATGTAAGACCTGAAACTATAAAAATACTAGGAGAAAACAGGAAAAACTCTTCTGGACATTGGTGTAGGCAAAGAAATCACAACTAAGACCTCAAAAGCACAGGCAACAAAAACATATATAGGCAAATGAGACTTAACAGAATTAAAAATTGTCTGAACTCACCGAACAGCAGCTCCCAGGCGCACTTCCTCCTGAATGTACACCCAACATAGATGGACCAAATGCTAAATCTGTTCAGAGGGAGCAAAGCTTACATTCATTTCATATGCTTTTCTGTAGGCGATGTTTTAAATATGACTGCTTCCTACATCCTTTTCATGCAACACCTAACACTTATAAGCGGAAGAACACGGAAGTAGCTCTAGACAACAAACCTTGTGGACCACAGTGTTACCAGGATTTAGAGGGAGCAAAGGAGTTTGCTGCTGCCCTCACCGCTGAGCGGATAAAGACCCCACCAAAACGCCCAGGAGGCCGCAGAAGAGGACGGCTTCCCAATAACAGCAGCAGACCTAGCACCCCCACCATTAATGTGCTGGAGTCCAAGGATACAGACAGTGATAGGGAAGCAGGGACTGAAACAGGGGGTGAGAACAATGATAAAGAAGAAGAAGAGAAAAAAGATGAAACCTCGAGCTCCTCTGAAGCAAATTCTCGGTGTCAAACACCAATAAAGATGAAGCCAAATATTGAGCCTCCCGAGAATGTGGAGTGGAGTGGCGCTGAAGCTTCGATGTTTAGAGTCCTCATTGGCACTTACTATGACAATTTCTGTGCCATTGCTAAGCTGATTGGGACCAAAACATGTAGACAGGTGTATGAGTTTAGAGTGAAAGAGTCTAGCATCATCGCTCCAGCTCCTGCTGAGGATGTTGATACTCCTCCACGAAAAAAGAAAAGGAAACACCGGTTATGGGCTTCACACTGTAGAAAGATACAACTGAAAAAGGATGGCTCCTCTAACCATGTTTACAACTATCAACCATGTGATCATCCACGGCAGCCTTGTGACAGTTCGTGCCCTTGTGTGATAGCACAAAATTTTTGTGAGAAGTTTTGTCAGTGTAGTTCGGAGTGTCAAAACCGCTTTCCTGGATGCCGTTGCAAAGCACAGTGCAACACCAAGCAGTGCCCGTGCTATCTGGCTGTCCGAGAGTGTGACCCTGACCTCTGTCTAACTTGTGGAGCTGCTGACCATTGGGACAGTAAAAACGTGTCCTGCAAGAACTGCAGTATTCAGCGGGGCTCCAAAAAGCATTTATTGCTGGCACCATCTGATGTGGCAGGCTGGGGGATTTTTATCAAAGATCCTGTACAGAAAAATGAATTCATCTCAGAATACTGTGGAGAGATTATTTCTCAAGATGAAGCTGACAGAAGAGGGAAAGTGTATGATAAATACATGTGCAGTTTTTTGTTCAACTTGAACAATGATTTTGTGGTGGACGCAACCCACAGGGTAACAAAATTCGTTTTGCGAATCATTCAGTAAATCCAAACTGCTATGCAAAAGTTATAATGGTTAATGGCGATCACAGGATAGGTATTTTTGCTAAGAGAGCCATCCAGACTGGTGAAGAGCTGTTTTTTGATTACAGATACAGCCAGGCGGATGCCCTGAAGTATGTCGGCATCGAAAGAGAAATGGAAATCCCTTGACATCTGCTACCTCCTCCCCTCCTCTCTGAAACAAACAGCTGCCTTAGATTCAGGAACCTCGAGTACTGTGGGCAATTTAGGAAAAGAAAATGCAGTTTGAAATTCAGAATTTGCAAAGTACTGTAAGAATAATTTATAGTAATGAGTTTAAAAATCAACTTTTTATTGCCTTCTCACCAGCTGCAAAGTGTTTTGTACCAGTGAATTTTTGCAATAATGCAGCATGGTACATTTTTCAACTTTGAATAAAGAATACTTGAACTCCTAAAAAAAAAAATTGTCTGCACAGCAAAAGAAATGATGAAGAGAGTGAACAGACAACCTACAGAATGGGAGAAAATATTCACAAACTATGCATTTGACAGGGGACTAATATGCAGAATTTGTGAGGAACTCAACAACAACAACAACAAATAATCCCATTAAAAAGTGAGCAAAGGGTAGAATAGACATTTTTTCAAAACATGACATACAAATGCCCAACAAACATACGAAAAAATACTCAACATCACTAACCATCAGAGAAATGCAAATTAAAACCACAATGAGATATCATCTTACACCAGTAAGAATGGCTATTATTAAAAAGAACTAAATAACAGATGTTGGCAAGGATGCGGAGAAAAGAAAATGTTTATACACTGTTGGTTGGAATGCAAATTAGTACAACCTCTGTGGAAAACAGTGTGGAGATTTCTCAAAGAACTAAAAATAGCATTTGATCCAGCAATCCCACTACTGAATACTTACCCAAAGGAAAAATATTATTATGTCAAAACGATACCTGCACTCATATGTTTATCACAGCACTATTCACAATAGCGAAGATATAGAATCAACCTAAGTGTCCACAAGTGGATGTTTAGAAAGAAAATGTGGTATATATACACAATGAAATACTACTCATCCATAAAAAATAATGAAATTATGACTTTTGCATCAACCTGGATGGAACTGGAGACCATTACCTTGAGTGAAACAAACCAGCCACAGAAAGACAAATACCACATGTTCTCACTTATAAATGGGAGGTAAATAATGTGTACACATGGACATAGAATGTAGAATGATAGACAATGGAAGCTCAGAAGGGTAGGGGGTGGAAGTAGGGTGGATGATGAGAAATTACTTAATAGGTACAATGTATGTTATTCAGGTGATGGATATCCTAAGAGCCCTGACTTCAGTATTCTGTAATATATCCAGATAACAAAATTACACTTGTACCTCATAAATTTGTAAAACTTTAAAAAACTATTTTCTTGGCCAAAACTGCCGCTCAATAGGATAGGTGATCAAAATTTATTCTGGCAATTGACTTATTATTCTTCACATTATATTTCATATTTAAATCTTACAGAGGGTAAGTTTTTATCCTGATTTTGAAAAAAACAAATGTGTTTGGCATTTAGGAATAAGTTGTACACTAACTGGGTGATGGGCACACATATACTTTGGCTCAAGCAGTACAAAAGCAATCCATGTAACCAAAACATTTGTATCCCTGTAATATTCTGAAATGAAAAAAATGAAAAAAGAAATGAGTGATCTTTTGTCATCCTGCTTTCCCAACTCATTTAAATTTCAAATAAATTTAAATAATTGTCTCAAAGACTATTAGCTCTGCTGTCACCCCTTTCCTTAACCCTTTTATCACCCATTAGAGTAGAAGGATGATGGAGTGGGAAAACATTCAAGTGAAAATGAGAACACTCACTAGAACTGTCTAATATTGGACAAGGGTGACTTCCCTCTCTGGGCTTCACTTTGTTCCACTGTAACAATAGCTCTATTTTCCTGTTCAGCTCTAAACTGTCAGTAATTTCCCTAATAGGGCTATCAAAACTCCAAATGTATTCCTTAGAAAAAATGCAAATAATTTTATATAGCTAAATTTTATTAACCACTTACTATGTGGTAGTCACTGACTTAAACTGTGAACTCACTTATTTCTCATTTAATCCTCACAACAAACCCACAAGGTAAGTATCTTTTCCCTATTTTACAGATGATAAAATTGGGGTCAAAAAAGATTAAGAAATTTGTACTGTATGGAAATAAAATATAAAAAAAGTATGAACCCTGGGTTATGTGCTATGAAGGATTGAAAGATGTCATATCTATTGGAGGTACAAATATAGACACAAATACCTATAGTATAAAAGAATGAAACAATAGTTATACAGATATAAACCAAACAATTTCAGTCCACTTTAGACAATCACCCAATCAAGTGTGTACGCATATATACATGAACACACTCAGATCCTTTATGGAATGGGTTGGTTGTAAATAATTCTAAATGTACTATTGACATTTTTGGGGAAACAATTCTTAGTTGTTCAAGTCTATTTTGAGCATTCGCAGGACATACCAGAGGACACTGACATCCCTGGCCACACTTCTCTAAATTGTGGTGATAGTGGCAGTGTTCAGGCACAAAGCCTTCACACATTTCTGGATTCCCCCACTTGAGGACTACTAAGGTACAAGATTTACATTGCTCACCATCTTCTATTTAGAAAACAGAAACTAGTTACTTTACAGTAGATCAGATTCTCAGTGCTGATAATTTTTCTAATTATAATGTTATTTAAATGTATACAAACATAAAACTGGTACAGACTTATTCTGACAGCTCTCACAGTAATACAAAACAAAATAAAATAATATGCTGAAATAAAAAAAGAAGCGTATTGATTTCACAATAAGAGAAAATAAATTATAATAATTTTTATAAAAATAATTAAATGACAACAAAATCATAATATCTATGGAAACAAGAGTACTGCACAAAACATAAATATAGCATTGATTACCTTGGCCCCCATCTTTGGGATATGTATTACTATGGTACCATGATGACTCAATTCTTCCCACCATTTTTCTGTTGGCAAGACATTTCGACTCTTAAATTGCAGAGTTTGCCATGACGTAATTTTCCCTTAACTTGGTACAAATATATCACTTAGTTTTAGACTCCTACCTAATCTTTCTTTACTAGTTCAAGGCCAAGTAGTAGTATTTGGTGCCAACACAATTGTAACAGTAAACCCAAGCACTGACATCATGTGGCAATATTTAATTAAAAGACGGTTGGCCGGGAATCCAAAGGTCTGAAACCAAAAACTTTTTTACAGATTTACTCTCTTCATTAATGGAATTTTTCTAAGTGATTATTAATTATTTCTGTCATTTGTCCAATGTATATGGAGCCTAAAATACAAATTAGTTGTTTGTAAGGGTGTTTACCAGCTTTTCAATTTTAAGAATAATAAATACTAAAATCTTAAATGAGTTATTTTCTAATAGGGGCATATTCGACCACAAATATCACATTGTCATTGCCACCAAACACATAGGTAATGCGGTATGCATTCTTTGCACATGTGCTTAAAGTTTTTCAAACAGCAGCGTACAAAAAATATTTATGTGAAATTTTTATGTAAAGCATCATCTCCTCCCTGCCTAAAGCCTGACTTTATGCTGCCATATTCATATCTAAAGAATTCCAGTTGGCAGGAACATTCTTCTAGATTCTTCTAGAAAGAAGAGTTTGAAACTAAATGTACTCAGCATATTTTATACATGATCATGAAAGACTAAATTTTTTGCTTTGTTTCCATAGACTACTGGATGATTCTCAAACGTATTCCTCAGCACCATAGCTTGTTTTGAATTCCAATTGGTGTTCCATGAAAAAAAAAATAAAGTTCTGTCATCAATTAAGCTAAATTGTGTTAACAAAGGCAGTGAAGTCCTATATTCCAGGACTTTTGAAAGTTTTAAATGTGCTAAGCTACATTGTGCATCCTCAAGAGGAGGATATAATATTTTCCAAATTTATTTGATCATAACACTTTAAAATATTTCTATCATTATTTTATCATAAACTATTTCAAATATCATGATTTTAAAACAATGCTACTCTAGTGAGAGCTGAAGTAGTATAACAAAGCAAGAAATGATTTTATTAGCTATATGATCTGGAACAAGCAGCTTAATCTCTTTGAGCCTCATTTTCTATTTCTGAAAATATAATTATCGGGATTATCTAATAGGGTTGTTAAGTGTACTAAATATGGTACGTACAAAAAAACTAGCAATCAATGGTACTACTACTATTTCCCATAGCGATTTTTATTGCCTGTCGTTTTCTTTACTGCAGCCCTAATTCATCTGCTCATGTGTGTAATTGCTGAAAGTCCTAAAAGTATGAAAGAGGCCAGTAAAATTATTCATCTATCTACTCATTCATTCAACAAATAATTACTGTAAACCGACTATGCATTAGTTAGCATGTTAGGTTGTAGAGATGGAGAGATGGTTGTGACATAGAGTCTTTGTACTTGAGATACTCACAGGTATCTTCTTCTTATGGGAGAGAGCCATGGGAATAAATCAGAATACTGTGTCAGAACACAAAATTTTATAATATACAATGTATAGATCTTATACAGACGAAAATGTGATAAGCAATTTAGGAGGAAAGAGAGGCAGACATGGCTTCTAGAAGGTGGTGACATCTGAGCTCAAATTGGAAAGATGATTCGCAAGGTTGGAAGTAAGGAAAGTGGGACAAGGAGGGAATTCCAGGCCCAGGCATGACACAGCATTGTGTGACTTAGAAATTTTACTTTGCTATTTCTAAAGACAAAGTATAAGGAGGACAGTGGTAGTTGGAACTGCAGAAAGTGCTATCTTTGCATAATAAACACATACAATCTCTTTAAAATGTTGCCTTGATTTGCTTTCATTTTACATTTTTATTCTCAGTTTGTGAGTTAGTTAATTTATATATCAACTCTGTAAGTTATAATAATGAAAACCAATTTTTATTGAGTTCTTACTATGTACCAGGCCGCATTCTAAGGTCTTTAAAATTTATATCTCAGTTAATTCTCACAACTCTCTCAGGTATATTTGAGCACCATCACTTTATGAATAAGAAAATCAAGCTAGGAAGCTGTTAACTGACTTGTTCAAGGTCATGAAGCCAGTCAGTTACAGAGTGGAGATATGCTCTTACCAACATGTCATTCTCTCTCCCTGGTCCTCCTACTCCTGATCCCTCTCCCTAGTTATCCTTATTCCCTCATGTGTTCCCCCTAGCAGAATGTGACATGCTAACTTTTCACATGCTGTCTATCAATCTCTTGCCTGTTTTCTTCATAACATTTATGCCAACTTGGATTTTTTTTGTTCTCTTGTTTTGGTTATTGTTACATCTCTTTCACTAGTATGTAAGGTACATGCCTCTCC